ACAGAGTTTGCGGATTACTGTTGGTAATGACCGGTATTGCATTGGCACACCAGAGCGAAGGAGGCTGCCTGATAGACTGGGCTCACCAATTGATAACCTGAGTGACAGGTATGGTCCTCCACAGATGGGGATTCAAGTGTGTGAAACAGTAAGAATGTGGGAATGGCTGTACTGGGTGAGACCAAACGTTTAATTAGCCTAGTGAATGCCTAAGGAAGGAGGGTAAGAGGGCAAGCATGTAGTGATGCTTCCCTGGGATACTCCCCTAGCCTCCAGCAAGTTGTGGCACAGGGGATTCCTGAATAAAAGTCACTGTCTGTGTTCATAATAACTCTGAACAGGTATTTCTTCTCTGATTTTTGTCAATTGCTTCTAAAACCCATGTAAGCTAAAAGTGCCCAGAGTATATTGCAGGAGGGAGCTGCTTTATTTGACATTTTACAACTTCAGCCACCTTCTCTTGTTTCTTATGAACCTATCTGGTCCTGACTGAAAGGAAGGTTGTTTATGGATATTGTAAAGTTTCAGCTTTCTCATTTATTGGGAGGAATAATCCACTTTCCTGATTTTTGAGAATAGTCCAGAAGAAAGCTGTAGTGTAGCTTGAAGAAAATGTATTATTTTGAATTTAAAAACCTTGCAGAGGAGAAGTGAACATAGTCAGACTATCTCATACATGATAAAATAAGTGTTAGAATTCTTAGGGTCCCTTGATTGGAATTGGAGAGAAACATAGTTAATGAAGAGACATCTTTCATGGTAAAAATACCACTGTGAACAGTGATGTATAAATATTAGTAGATACTGTTTGGAAATCTTTGCCTTCAGTAGGAGAACAGGCGTAATCTGGCAAAAGAAGTAGAATCAGGACATTTGTGCAAATAAAATTGTTTTCATTGTCTTGAATTGCAGAGTTGAAGATGGCATAGTTTGTGCCCCAGAGCAGACAATTGCAGTTTCAGGTCAGGGATAAGCATCCAGCACAAAAAAAGCACCATAACTTCCATTTTCGATGCAAATATCCCCAACTGTTAAAAAAGAGAGAGAGAGAAAAAAAGAGAGAAGTGAGCAGAATAAGTGAATTTCCTGTCTTTCTCAAGTGTAAGGTTAAGTTTCAGCAGGTGCAGAAAACCAAATGAGAGTTTAGTTTTCAGTACTGTCACTTTTACGCCTTTACCTCAGTTCTTCTGGGATCAGTGTTTGATTTGTAAATCCCCTGTGCAGTCTGCAATCTTCTGAATGAAATGAGTGCATATGCCCAGGGAGAGTACACTGGTTGGAAGGAGCGGGAAATGGTATGTAGGAGAACTGGCACTGCTCTGGAAAATTAAGCACATGGGAGGGGATGGTGTTTGTCCCATTGCTTCCTTTTCTCCAGTGAAGTTTTATATTTAACCTGTTTTGTGGTTATGACACATGGTTAGAAGTAACATCAGGTACAGTGAAGTTTATTTGAACATGAATGAAAATGATGAAGAACTTTCACTTTACCTCTGTTACAAGACCCATAGATGTAAAAAAAAAATGGTCAGCATAGACTCCTGAGAAGCTATAAAAGTGACAGATGAATCAGAATAAGAAGAAAAAAAAGTGAGACCGTGTAGACCTCAGTTCTTAAGTGACTTCCCATATATTTGTAGTGTAGGTACGCAAGAACTCTATGTGGTTACATTGATTTTTTTTTTTTTTTTTGTCCAATCTGTTTGTGCTGGCTGCACTTGTCTGAGTAATGCCGACTGTCCAGAAGCTTAAAGTGTGTGGTCACCTAGTCATCCCTTAGCTTTTCTTAAAGCTTATAGGTACTGCTTCTGACTTCCAAACTTCTTCACTGTTTAGCCATTTTGGTTGTTTTTAAAAGATGCTTTGTATTCGGTTAAGGACATTGTTTATCGTGTATTTTTTGGTCATGTATTTTTTTCCCCTCTCTCAGAGGCTGCCCTGGTACTGGGACTCTGACTTTATATCTATCACTGGGCTTTGAAGTAGTCCCTATTGTGAATCATCAGTGGGTTTAATACTAGGCATATCACATTGTTATTTGGCACATGGTACGTTCTCATTTGCATTAAAAAAAAAAAAGGGTGTTTTCTGAAGATGTCTCTTCAAATTTTGAAGAAATTGGAGCAAATAATTCTGAATTTAGTTATCCTCAGCTATTTTTGCTAGCTACTCAGAGATTTCAAGCAATCACTTTTACAAATTATTCTCTGTAATTTGCATGGCCTTGGGATGGTAGAGAGGTTCATTAGCCTATAAAGGAAATAAAATACCAAAGGAGGGAAATCAGGGATGCTTTTGGATTCTCTTGCAGCAGTGGATTTTCAGGATGCCCTAGCAGAATTTCTTAGGGTCCGTGTCCAGATGCAGGTCCATCCTGAAACATCTGTAAGAACTTGCCCTGAGTTTCTAGGGCAGCTGGCCTCCTGCGCATATCTAAGTAAGCATACTGAATGCTGCTGGCCTGTGACTTCAAGGTCACCTCAGCAGCTTCAGTCTTCTGTTTCAACAGATTAGTATTTTTTTGTCTTCCAGAATCTCAGTCTATCAAAGTGAAAAATATATCTTATCCCTCTCCCTGTCTTCCATCTCTCCCTCTGTCAGTATTTTAAGACAGTCTACTACTATCTGAGCTGGCATGAGCTATACAGAGCATCCCACCAATTCTTTCATCTGAGGTTAATCAAAAAGATTAGACCATATCACTGCAGAGACTTGCTCTGTGTTAAGCTGTGCTCTGAAATAGCTTTTTTTTTGGCATAATATCAAGAGTGACAGTTGGCTTGAGTATGAGCAGCTCATCTGACTTCCTATTCAAAGGCTGTCTGTTAAGGTGGAGTCCTGTTGGTTGCTGATAGCAGAATACCATTACTTATTTCTGTTTCTGTGTATGTGAATAAATGTGCCAAAACATAAACTTACCTTACACTAGTTCTCTGAGGTGTCATGTCTATGTAGTCGACGGTCTGTTGTCCTTCTCTGAAACTGCAAATTCCAGTAATTCATGGATTCTGTGTTGGTGAAGGAATTGGGATGGTCACAGTGGTCTCACCTTGCGTGCTCTCTCAGGGATGCAATAGCCTGTAGTGGACATTGCTGACTAAAATCACCCAAACCAGTTAAGAGGGACATATGTCTCTTGGACTGTATTTACAGAAAACATATTTCAAAGAATCACAGTTTCTGTAAGACAAATAATCCTTTTCCTCACACCAGTATTTAATCTTTGGGTTTTAAATCTGTATTTTAGCTGTTCAGAGTGTATTTGGAACATCTTTCTAGTTGTAAGTATAGTAGATTTGCTGTTCTTTCTTTCAAAGTATGATTAAATATTCCTTCTGCTTTGTCACTGCAGTCAGAGCATTTGAATTGTAGGTAACACCTGGCGAGCATGCATGCAAATTATTTGCACAAAAATCAGCTGAAGGTGTATGGTGAAATACATCTGTTACTCCACCAGGTGTGTTGGTGCAACTTGTTTAGGTTTAGCAGGCTTTTGGAAAAGGTGACACGGGGGGTAGGTATACCTTTATGTAGGCTGTGAATGGCAACATTTATGTATGAAATTTAATTCTAGCTACTTTTTAGACATTTTGGTGCTTTTGAAGGGGGTGGATGTGTGCGATTTGCTGGAAACTGGAAAGGTGCCATCTAATACTGTGGGTACTGCTGTATGCCGTATTTGCCTTATAAGATGTGTTGGACTGATAAAGCGTCTAATAACATATGAAATGCTTTGCAATGATGCAGGTTAGAGATAAAGTGAAGTTTTGTGTTGGTTTTGTTCTAAAATATGCGTGTGTAAACTATGAAAATGCTTAAGAAAAAAGACCTCGTCTGTTTATGTCTGTTATTCTTTAGTCTGATGACTTTAAAAACTGAGGCTATAATTTATATGCAATTTCTTTTTAATATGTCATTCAACATGACTTGATTTGTCTTGTCTCAGATCTATGGAGGGATTTTTCTCAGTAGGAGGAGGTGATTGGTGATTTTTGAGGATTCAGGCAATCATGCATAGTTTATCTCAAGTTGATGTCTTGATCACTCGGGCAAGACATTTCTCTAATGTTTCTGTCCCATTGATTTCATTTAAGGAGCACATTTGCTTCCCATTCTTGGAGGATCTTGCTATATTTTTGAAATACCTGTGAGTAAAAACAGCAGCTGGTTTGGTTTGTTTCTGCCTGATCTAAAAAAACAGTACCAGAAAACTTTTTAGGGGAAGGGAAAAAGGCCTTAGTTAAAACAGTACTCCTAATTGGAAGTGTGTGTAGGAATCAGTCCAAAAGAAGTACTCCAAGAGATGTAGCCAGTTATTCTGGTGTTGTGCCAGTTGCACATCCATTGTGTGTAATAATGCAGGGGCTGGCACAAAGGAATAATACTATTACATTTACTATCCCTGGTTCATAGATACCTTATCAAAAGCTGTGCTGGTTTTTTTGTATAGCAGTTCATGTGATTAGTGACAATCCTTTCTACAGATCTGCTGCAACAGAAGATGTTGCTAGAATTTGTGGTCCTCGTCCACAGCTGAAGGTAAAAAGAGGATCTGGTTGCATTTGCCAGTGTGAAACTGAATTATGCCTTGAATAATTCATATGAAATGTGACCTTGGCATCTTGCTGGGAGAGATGAGGAAAGGGATTGTGATCTGAAATATGATAGTAATGTTTTTTTTAAAACGTGTAGTCTTTCTCCTTCACAGAAATGAATCCATCCTATCATTTTTTCAAGGCTCTCCTCCTGCAGTATGAGTTGAATTGTTCATGTCACTGTGTTCGCAGGTGCCTTCCAAGGAGGGATGTATGGTACCATTAAAAACAAGTCTCCCTCTCTCCCCTGCCCTTTAAGTACATAAAATGTTGCTTCTGTTTAGTGATGGAGATGTTATTCTGAAACTGATTTGGAAATTTCTTACTCTTGAGTAGGAGTAAGACTTAGTTTACTCTGACTCAAGTACTTATGTTTATTCCATGCTTCTCTTACACAGGGATGATATGGCTGATGGTCCGATATTCACTAGAGGCCTCTCATGTCCTCGAGGCCTTGAGAGATATCCATCACATGAAGATCAACCTTCAAGTCCCTTCATCATGAGACATGATGAAGACTACCGCAACCGAGATGTTTTCCTCCATCGTTCAGATTATAGTCCGCATTATGGTCGTCGAGAAGAGCTGCCTCGTGGATCTGACAGAGATGGTGAGAAACTCAGGAAATCCTCCTACCCATCGAGACCAGAAGACAGGGGACGAGAAATTAAGCGTCCACGGTATGAAAAGGATGAGAAGATGCATGGTATAAGTGGAGAGCATCAGGGTTTCTCATCAGGAACACGAAACTATCGCAGACGAAGCCACAGCCGCAGTAGAAGCCCAAGCCCGTCATACCTGAATGAAGAATTCCGAGAACTTGACCGTGCAAGGAGAAAAAGAGAAGAAGAAGAGCGTAGTAGAAACTTGAATCATGATGTTTCAGGCAGTGGTTATGTGATCCCCGGCTTGACTAACACACTACAGACTTCTGAGCCTCGATATATCTATAGGCCTGAGGAAATTCCATCCATGCCCAAAAAATCTATTTTGAAGAAACGAGTGGAGATGGAAGTAGAGTCTCCTATTCAGGTTTGATCTTTGCCTGTCTATCTATATGTTTCTACTGTCTAAAGCAGTCACTTCAGGATACAGCATGTTAGTTTGATTTCCAAAATAGAAAAGCCAAATCTTTATGTTTTCCTGTCTTTGAGAGGACAGGTATCTTTTTGCAGGCCTATATAATTTAGGATTGCATATATAAAATATATATAATATATTCTAAATAATATCTCCTTGTTGAAATTCAGCCCAGGATGCTGAGATTTGGGCCAGCTTTGATAGAAAAGCTGAGTCTTTTTGTATCACAGGCGGTCCAGACATTGATCGAGCTCACTGCCTGTCACAGTGTCTCTTGCTTCTTTATAGACTTAGAGAACTGCCTAATGCATCCTCAGTATCTCTGGCTGAAGACATCTTTAGGTTTCCTTATTTTTTTTCCCTTTGGCCTGTAGCCTGTGATCAACCCTGCTTAATTTGTACCCAAGGCATACCAACTGAGTCTCAAGATTAGAGCAATTAAAAGATAAGCTGTTGCGACCACTGTGATAAATTGACTTTTCTTTTTGTATGTTTTAGTACATCACTTTTTTATCTGGCTGTTGTACTGATCAGTTTTGATTTTGACACTGACATGTTTATCTCAAGAGGTGCCCCAATACTGAGGATCCCATTCTATACCTATTATTGGAAATCCTGTTTAACATGGTATTAATTAGGCATATCTGAAGAAGTGACTGGTAATAACCCGAGTGCAAATGTTTATACCTGTCTTAAGGTATTGAAATCCTGTTTGTGATTAAACTCAAAGTATAGCCAAATTTATGCTATGGGGTTTCAATTTAAAAGTTTCAGTTCTTATACTTGCAAAAAATGAATGAAATATAGTTGTGTTTTTGTGTATTCTCTGGGATAAGTGTTCATTGCCTGTCATGACATTCCGGAATCATTAGGCAACTTGTTTTGTAATCTTTTGTGTTTTCTTTCAACTGTATATTGTCTTTTCTAACTCTTTTCTTCAGCTTTGAGGTCAAGGAGAAATTAACGTTCCTTTGTTTGTTCTGTGAGGTGTGTAGTCCCCTCAGAAGGTGCTGTAGTAAATAGTAACTTCTGTCTCTTTCAGCCTGAGGGCTTTTCAAGCAGTCCGGCTCCCAGCAAGGATCTCCCTCTTCTTTCTAGTCATTCATCTTTGCCCCAGAGCAGTGACACGGCTCCTTTTGCCTCTGAAGTGGAGAACTTTCTCAAACGGTTTAACAAAGACTCTATTGTGGAGTCTGCAAACAAGGAATTACATGACGGTTTATATGAGTGGAGCCCACTTTCTGGGACTCCCAAAGACGCTTTCACATTTGAAGAGAAGTTTGGAAGCTTCTTAAGTCACAAGGAAAAGGTAGAACCCAAGTCAGAGCCTGCTGATCGCCATACTGACTTTCTGCTGCCTCACGAGAGGGCCAGTCAGGATGGCAGTGGTTTCTCCCGAATTCTGGGCATGATGGCTGATTCTGTCAGTGCTCAGGAGAAGAGGAGGCGTAGTTTTCCTGACATTGAGGATGAAGAGAAATTTCTTTATGGTGATGAAGATGAAGACACCAAAACTGAATCTCTCCCTGTCCAGAAGCCCCCAGTGAGTTGTGGTAATGAGATAATAAGCCAGAAAGTGAGCCCACCTCCTTCTCCTGCTCCAGCTGTCAAGCTGGATCCTTTAGAAGAGCCTAATGCTGAGTATGCAAAGATCCATGACTTACTCAAAACCATTGGACTTGACATTGGCGTGGCTGAAATTGGAAAACTGGCTGTTCGTACCCAGGAACGCCTTCATGGCAAAAAGTTGGCATCTCGTTCTCCTGATCGTCGCTCTTCAGATCCTCGCAGACTGGACCCTTGGGACTTACGTCGCAGCCGGAGTGACACTCGTTCTCCCGAGTCAGGCCAGCAGCGCTCAGCATCACCTCCAGTCTCTTTCCAGCAGTCTAAAGATGCATCCTCTCTTCAGAAATCAGAATATACTAAGAACAAGGCAGTGGGACAGGATATACCTCCCTGTGCACCAGAACAGCCTCTTCCTTCTGTCACTCTCATTCCCTCAGTTCCACCAGCTCCTGCTAGTTTGCCGCCTACACCTACTTCTGTTTCCCAATACCAAATTCCCAACTATTCCCAGTTTACTGCCACGCAAATGCCCCAAAACTATCCACCTCCCACAATGGCTCCTCCAGGATACGATGCATATGGCCACTATATGGCGTATGCGGCCCCTGGCTGGACCATGTACCCTCCTGCCCAGCAGCCTAATCCTACGCTGCCAGAAGCTCATGGTCTTCTTACGATGGCCATGTCAGCGAACCCCACGCGTCCCAACCTCCGTGTGATTGAGACAGTCTCTATGGGAAAGGATGTCTCTGATTTAAAAAGAGATGGTTCTGTGCTTGTTCATGTCCCTACCACTCCTGCTCATTCCAAAGTGCCCCTTCGTCTGTCTTCACATCCTCTCAAAAATACCACAGAAAAGATGTCGGATGAAAAAAATCGGGCAGCTCAAAAGCAGAAGGTATGTTATCTACTCTAATACATCAAAATATGTTGGAGTGCTTGATTGCTGGGGTAGAAGCTTTTCCTCTTTGGGTATGCCTTTTTGTTCCCCAAGTGGTTCCAGTTTAAAGCCATTGGACTAAATTTGCTTTTGTTAAAGATTTCTAGGCTTTTGTCTGTATTACTCTGTGACAATTAAAAAAAAATGCATTTTAAATCCCCCAAAGTTGTACACCCATAGGTTATGGCTGAACAGGTAAAATCAAGCACAAAGTTTAAGTTCTTGGGGCCAGACAAAATCTTACAGAAAAAAACCACATAGTGGTCACAGCTTGGCTTTATTCCACTGAGCTTTAGATATTGAAATACCTGAAGATATCAAGATACGTGAATATCAGAAGGGACAGTATAAATAAGATGGCGCTGGGCTTTTTTCAATCATGTCCACTGGCAGGATAAGAGGCAATGGGCACAAACTGAAACACAGTAGGCTCCATCTGAACATGGTACATGGTACAATAATACCATGGTTATACCTATATTAGACATTCTTAAACGCATACTAGAGGATATCATTATTCACAGTTGCATACAATTTTCCCTCTACATTGGTATTAATTATTTCTTACAAGAATCACAAAATCAGAAGAACTTAAGGGCAGCTGTTCTTTACTTGGTGCATCTGACACCAGTTTAGGTTATGGGTGTTAATGTTTTCCTCTTCTAGTTACCTTGGTTTGTATGATAATTTGAGAGTAGTGGGGAAAAAGATATTTTAAAATAGGAAACTGTAGTTATAGAACTGTCAAAGGACTGGAAGATTCCTGAAAGCTGTTAGGGTTTTCAAACTGGTGTCTACTCAATCTTTGTTGTTAAAATAAGGGCATAGAACCATGGTATGATTTAGGTTAGAAGGGACCTTAAAAATTACCTAGTTCCAACCCCCCTGCCATGGGTAGGGACACCCTCTGCCAGACCAGGTTGCCTAAAGCCCCATCCAACCTGGCCTTGAACACTTCCAGGGATGGGGCATCCACAGCTTCTCTGGGCAACCTGTTCCAGTGCCTCACCACCCTCATCATAAAAGAAATTCTTCCTTATGTCCAATTTAAATCTAACCTCATTTAGTTTAAAACCGTTGCCCCTTGTCCTGTCACTCCATGCCCTTGTAAACAGTCCCTCTCCAGCTTTCTTGTAGGCCCCCTCTAGGTACTGGAAGGCTGCTATAAGGTCTCCCTGGAGCCTTGTCTTCTCCAGGCTGAACAACCCCAACTTTCTCAGCCTGTCCTCATAGGAGAGGTGTCCCAGTCCTCTAATCATTTGCATGGCCCCAACAGTTCCATGTCTTTCTTGTGCTGGGGGCCCCAGAGCTGGACGCAGTACTCCAGGTGGGGTCTCACGAGAACAGAGTAGAGGTGAAGAATCACCTCCATTGACCTGCTGGCCATGGTTTTTGTGCAGCCCAGGATACAATTTGCTTTCTGAGCTGCAAGCACACACTGCCAGTTCATATCTAATTTTTCATCTACATATGCATATCTGCATTAGAGACACTCACTCTTTCAGTGTAGCTGTGCTAATGATACATTGTGTTGGTAGATCTGCTAGAAGAGCAGCATGTGGCAAAGGCTGGAAGCTTTTTGCCTGCTTATTATATCACGCTCCTCAAATCAGGCCATGGAAAGATGGACCACTGAATCCAAGAGAGGCTCTAAAGAAGTCACTTTACATTTTCTGTCTGAGATAATCTCTCTGCTTTTTCTTTGAAGTGACTTAAAGAGGAATACTTACACAAGGTGCTACATCAACAGATAAGTGAGCTTTCACTGCTTGCAGGAATAATAATTTCTGCAGCTGACATGGTTGAAATTTTGTTGTTAATGAAACTTGGCACTTCTGGAAGAGCTCTGTTGGCTGCAGGTGTATGGTTTTCCCCTGCTATGACATACACTCGTAGCTCACCTATTCATCTTGACAGAACTTAGTCCACCATATTTTTGCTGGGATGGCTTGAAGTATAAAAACTTGCATGCTCCAGTTGGTGCCCCTGTGCTGGCAGAAAACACAGAATGAGAGAATGGTGTTTTGTTGATTTAAAAAAACGCCACACAAAACCCCAAAAACCTTGTGGCATTTAAGACGTGGCCTAACTGTGTTTGTAGAACTCCTTCCAGGGCTTACTCTGGGCAGGATGTAGGGATACTGCCAACATTTACATTGCCACAGTAGTAGTGATTCTTTAGGGAAGACAAGGCCTTGGGTCAGTTTTTGTTTGTTCAAGGGAGAAGTCAGTAGTAAGCTTTAAGAGCATTGTGAAGGTGAAAAATTGGAGTTTGTCTCTTGGAAAAATTGAGCAGGAAAGGAAATTGAAAGAACTTTTCAGGTTTCGTTTTAGCATATTGCCTGGTTTCCTTCTGTGAGAATCAACAAAAACCAGTGAAAAGTGGATTTGTGAGCTCTTCATGCCAGAGTTTACCTTACTGAGCAAAACCCAAACTTCATCCAGGTGTTTAATTTCAGAGTGTTATGCCTGCTGTGGTGGGTTGACCCTGGCTGAGGG